AGGGCACATCACAATAACATGACCTAGGCAAGGCAGTTAATAGCAGACTTTTCCAGAGTATTAACTCATAGAGTTATCTAAGTGGCAAGAGACCCAGGGGCACAGAACAATAAAGTTTTTAAGATGCTGTCAAGATTTGTCATCGCTTTCCTCCCAAGAAGCAGGCGTCTTTTAATTTCGGGGCTGCTGTCACCATCTGCAGTGGTCATGGAGCCCAAGAAAGTAAAATCTGCCACTGCCTCCATATCTTCCCCTTCTATTTTCTGGAGGTGAAGGAACCAGTGGTCATGATCTTGGTTTTTTTGATGTTGAGCTTCAGACCGTTTTTTGTGCTGTCCTCTTTCACCCTCATTACAAGGTTCCTTAATTCCTCCTCACTTTCTGCCATCAGAGTGGTATCATCTGCATATCAGAGGTTGTTAAGATTTCTTCCTGCAATCTTAATTCCCTCATGGGATTCCTCCACTCCGGCCTTTCGCATGATGTATTCTGCATATAAGTTAAACAAGCAGGGGTACAATATACAGCCTTGTTGTACTCCTTTCCCAATTTTAAACCTATCAGTTGTTCCATATCCAGTTCTAACTGTTGCTTCCTGACCCACGTATAGGTTTCTCAGTAGATAGATAAGGTGGTCAGGCACTCCCATTTCTTTAAGAACTTGCCATAGTTTGCTGTTCCTTTCTTAACCATCAGTAAGCATTCTGGGATAAGTAATTGCTTGGAGCTCACTTTTTTTCCACTGTAAAGTTTTTTTGTACTTGTGCAAACACTAAATAAAATTTTAACAAAGTGTTTCCAAAGGCAAATATATGATCAAAGCCCATCCCATGACTTTCTGAGGTCCCTCCAGCAGCCTGTTTATCTTTCTCTGCCTTGGTCTTCCACTCCTAGCATGCTCAACTATTTTCTTTCTAAACTGTGGCTGGGCCTGCTTTACTGTTCAAGAATACATCTGATGTAGTATCACGTATTTCCAAAGAGAGCAGAAGTTGTCAGGGAGGTGATGTTGTACCAAAATTGATCTCACGTCTCCTTTCCCTCATTTTTGCTACTCCAAAGGAAATCCAGAAGATTATTTGGCACTTATGGCAGTGTCCCCAACCTTGGGCCTCCAGATGTTTTTGGACTACAATTCCCAGAATCCTTCACCTCTGCTGGCTAGGATTTCTGGGAGTTGAAGTCCAAGAACATAGGGTATGGCTCCATTGGAGAGCTGAATCAGAAGGATTTGGCTTTGCTGAGATTTGACTCGCAGCTTGTGTTACATCTGAAATCACAATCGGTGCTCACTCAAGGCTGCAGATTAATTTCACTCTTTATACATTGTGATGGGAGTAACATTCCAGCCCACAACCCTCCCTTTTCTTTTCTTTTCTTTTCTTTTCTTTTCTTTTCTTTTCTTTTCTTCTCTTCCTTCCTCTGGCCTCATCTCTGCCTGCCCTTTCTTCCTCTGTGATCCTTTTATGGGTTTGTGTGAGAGAACAAGTGTCCGGAGGCAGTGATGATCCGGTTACTGACCTATTCTGATGTGTGAATTATGGGGGCAGAGGAACCTCGACGTGTTGTTTGTCTGTCTGTGCACATGCCTTTCAAAGAAAGCTAGAAAATGTCCCATAAGGGAAAGCAGTTGTGACTTTAAAATGCATGTGTGCATAAACACACACACCACCACACTGGGAGCCCCCCTCTTTCTCCCTATTTGATGGCTGAATGTCGTGACTCCCATTCTCCATTTGAACTTCTGCCAAAGGTACAAAGCACTCGGAATGCGGAGGGGGAGGTTCCCAGTGAAATGTGTGTCTGTTTGTATGTATTCACATTTCAAATAATGTCAGAAAATGCCCCAAAACAGTTGGGACTCTGAAATGCTCATGTTTGTGTGTAGGTGTTTGCACTGGCATACACCCCCCACATTGGGACCCCCCCTCTTTTTCCCTGTTCACAGACTCTCATTTTCCATTTGAACTTCCGCCAAAGGTACAGAGTACTTGGGACAGTGGGGGAAATCTCAGTGTGTTGTGTATGTGTGTGCACATATGCCTTTCAAACCCCTGACTGTTTCCCCTTATGCTGGGCTGCCCAAACTAGGTGGCAAAAAGGCACACCGCTATCTTTGCTTCTCTGCAGGTGAAAAAGAATATGATCAAATCCTCCCATCATGGGAAAAAAATTTGAAGCTCTCAACAGGCATGCAAAAAAAAAAGGTGCTTTGGCATTAAATAGGCTGGAACAAATTGAATCAGCCTTGTATGTCATGCAGACACAAAAATATATTTCAAATTCCCCCGGTTTATAAAAGGAGAAAATCCCACCCCATATGGTCACACTCTAAGTCGCAAACTAAGAGACTGGTTGAAGCACAAAAAGCGGTTATTTTTATTTATTTATTTATTTGATTTTTACCCTGCCCCTCTAGACCATGTCTACTCAGGTCGGCTAGCAAAATGGAGTTAATTATGCCACTCTTCTTTCAACACAATGCCGCCAACCTTATTCAAGGAGGTAAAGGGAGAGCAACTGGTCCAAAGCTACCCAGCGAGGGCAGAACCAGAGAACATATTGAGTTGGGAAGAAGTGGAGGAAGACCTTATCTTACTGCCAGTAAGTTACATGCGCAGTATGTTATAACCTCGAGATAAGCACTCCCTGATCATGCATGCTTTGTGCAATCTGGTAGCCTATCAGGGAGAGATACATTGTTCTTTCATAAATTGCCTATACTGTAACAGCAGTTAATTATGCAAACATGAACATGCTCAATTGCTTGTGCTGGAACGTTCTACTAGAGGCCTTATTAAAGGTCAAGGAGACCCCCCTCTGTATGTGCTGCAGTGCATTGGGACTCTCCTGCTTTCAAAAACAATCATGTTTGCTACTGAAATTCACTCTGTCTGTTGTGTGACACAACCAGCCAGAGAAACCCTGTCAGCCTGTAGGGTCACTTCTCTGAGAATGCCATTAAGAAGGAGACCTTGCATAAGCAATGAAGTCCAAAAACAGGGCGGATTGTATCACCACCAAAATATCATAAGCAGGCAAGCTTTTGAAATCCTGCATAACTCTTCCTCAGGCTTGGCATTGCAGAGCCCAAGCAGTGCTGAAGGAGAAAAGAGAAACAGAAAAGAGCCCAAAATGAAGATGAAGACGGCAAACAAAACAATCAGCCTGAGCTGTGTTAGCGGTATCGGGTTTTTACATCAACAGGATTTTTGCCCATAGAATTCAAGAGCATATAAGGCATATGGCAAAGTATTGTTTGATTTTGTAAGCTAGATATGCTGGCAGAATATCGTAGAGAAATCCAAAATATTTTCCCATCCCACAGCCTCCCTCAACTAGAAACCTTCCAGATTTGCCAATACGATGGGCTGCAGTCAAATGCATCTGAAGGTCATGAATCTGAGGACAGCCTCAGTTTCAACATTTTTGCAGAGATAGTATGGACTTTTTTTAAAAATCCAGTACCCCTTTATTCATCTTTCTGACAGTCCAGAATATCCACAAGGCTGTATTCCAACACCACATTTCAAACAAATCAGTTTTTTTCCTGTCAGCTTTCTTTACTATCCAGCTTTCACATCCATACGTGGTGACTGGAAATACAGTAATGTGGATGTTCTTGGCTTTTATAGCCAGTGACATATCCTTGCAATTGATTATCTTTTCTAATTCCTTCATTCCTCACCTTCCAAGTCTCAGGGCTCAGTAACACACGAGAAAATAACCCTGGCTATACCAATTATTGTCATCCCTCTGTTGTTCCGATACATTTTTTCCAGTGGTCATCTAGTATATATGATTGCCCCAAGAAACAGTAGAGAAAATGAATCAATACAAATTTAAAGGGCAGTGTAGTCTCCTATATTGGCAAGAGCATTTACATTGTTTTGAATGGCATCACTACTTTTCTTTCTATTTGAACCATTAGAGGAGACTACACTGCTCTTTAAATTTGTATTGATTCATTTTCTCTACTGTTTCTTGGGGCAATCAGGCCATCCTTTGTCTGTTTTTTTAAATTACAAAAGTGATATATTGATAGAGCAGTATGAGACTTCTCTCCTTCTCCCCTTTTCCCTTTCCTCCTTTATTCACTTTTCCTGATTTCCTTATTTCCTGGCATATCTCTACCTCTCAGTTCTGGGCTTTCATTTTTCTTTTCACTTTGCACAGCATCGGGAGGAGGAAGCAGGTTTTAAAAGACTTGCAAAGTATTGTGAAGATCAGGGTTTAAAAAAAGAAGGGGGAAGTTAATGCAACACCCCTTTCTTTAAAATTTGAAGCAGGAAATGTCCTTTTCTTGGTTCAAGCCCTCTTTCACCCACAAGGAGGAGGGAAGGCTGAGCAATGTATTCATGTCACTTTTGTGGCGGCAGCTGCAACTGCTACTAGTGATATACTGATATTTCTTTAAAATAAATGTTTTTAAAGGGGTACAAGCAGAGCAACCGTAAAGTGGCCATAGCACCCAAAATCCTGATCCCTTTGCAAAGGAAATAAATTTACAGCAACGTTCACAGACGCTGAAACAATAAGGAATGAAGCAATATATGATCAGTACATTTTAAAATAAACCTCTTGGCAAGAAGGAAATAAACCAATTGCTGGGGCAAATGAATCATTGTTAGTTATGCATTATGTGAATGGAAAATGTTGAAATGATCCAAATAATGGCCAAAACAGTATAACTGGAATTCTTCTGGCAAGTGTGATCGAGCCCTCAGTCTTCTTCTGATTTCTTGGCTGCAGTCTCCATTAGGAACCAAGGTATACAAAACCTCGAACTATTTCAGTTTCTTCATTGTCAATGTTAAAGCTGTGTAGTTCTCCTATAGTCATGATTTCGCTCTTCTTAATGTTCAACTGCAGTTATGCTTTGGCACTTTCTTTCTTTCACTTTCACTAACAGTCATTTCAAGTCGTTACTGCCCTCTGTCAGCAAAATGATGTCATCTTCATATCTTAAATTACGGTTGTTTCTTCCACCAGTTTTCACTCCTCCTACATATGAATCAATTAGGAGATAAGAAGCAGGCTGCTTCATTACTCCTGCAAACGAACAGCCTATTGCAAAGCAAATTCCACCCAGGTGACAGCCCAACCAGGCTAGCGTGTGTGCAGATGTGAACCACGAAGGAAAATGAATCTCATATTTGATATTCTTTGGCTTGCCGTCATCGTAATCTACTCCTGTGTGGAGGCCTTGGTGAAACTTTTCATTCCTGTGAAAAGAAAATCAGTCAGCGGGGAGATTGTGCTAATTACGGGAGCTGGACATGGCATTGGAAGACTCACAGCCTACGAATTTGCAAAAAGACACAGCACTCTAGTCCTCTGGGATATCAACAAGGTATTTATTGTTCCATGTTTAAAGGATAAAAGTAAAAGGAATGAGAAATGCTGCAGAGGGGAGGGATGAGAGAGGCGAGGAGGAAACGGTAGCAGAAAATAAACTGCCCGGACATTCCTGAACAATTGTGGTGAATTAATAAGTTATTCGCTCCATGCTTACGAGGGTTTAAGGTCCATAGATTACAGAGCTGTTTATTGGCAAGGTAAACGTGCTTAGATTTGAATCCTGTGTCTGGCTTTGGTAAGGACATAGCTTCTGTTTTCTGTGTGGGAAGAGGAAACAATAACATTTGGACACTTTGCAGCCAAATTGTGCTGTTGTGTGACTTGATTTTTGTGCACTTACGGCAGTGTTCACAAGTTATTTTGTAGTGCTGGAGAAATATTTCTTGAAGAGACAGCCCTGCCAGAGCCCCTTTTCTCATTAGAGGAAAGGGTTGAGGAATGAACATTTTTGAACAGTCTTCTTGAGGATTATCAGACATGTTTAAACGTGTGGTCTTTTTTCTTTTTTCTTTCAATGTAAAACATGTGTTATGGAGACTGTTGCCAGAGGGAGGGGATTATCCTTTGGTTAAAATATCAAAGCTCATTGGTTGATGTTCCCTCAATGGGAAGGAAACGTTTCTGTTTTTGTATTCTCGAAGGCTTTCACGGCCGGGATCCGAAGGTTGTTGTGGGTTTTTCGGGCTCTTGGCCGGGTTCTGAAAGTTGTTCTTCCTGATGATCGCCACTCTCTGTGGCTGGCATCTTCAGAGTAGGAACTTTGTCCATGCTGTGTTTTTCATTCCTGCTCCTGGTAGAGCAGTTTCATTGCAGGTTGACAGCACACAGCAGGTGTGCATGGAAACTAATGCACAGAAGGTGATTTGCAGGAGATTGTAAAGGATTTCTGATCAGTGATCACTACATGTTTAACCACAGAGGCAACAGAGTAACTACCTTCTCCACTGCTGGGTACACGCTTAAACAGAAAGCAAGAATTTTTACCGTAGCTTTCTTAAGGAGTCAGTTTCCTTGTTTAGGGTGGTAAACTCCATTCATTGCTGGTACTTAATGCATTCCTGACTCAAACAGCAGAATCCTGTTGGTGAGTTATGTGTTCCCATTGCTGGGCATACACCACTTATGCATTTGGGTGCACATATTATAACGGGACCAGTGCCTTGTTATTTAGTGGCAATTCACTGTGGTGAGTTACACAAATTTACTTATGCATGCCTAAATCACCAACAGGATTCCTTCCTTCTAAATGTAGCATTTTGTGCCAGACCTTGGCAGATAGGTTCAAGGGCCAGGATCCTGTTTCTTTTAGGCATAACCATCAGTTCTGTGTGCAATTCTCCATTCTCTGGCATTTAATCAAAGAGGCACTAGCGTGGTGAACACTCAGGAGGTGGCGAGCACTCCGGTGCTGGAGACAAGAGAAAATTAGACAGCCATTTATCAGATATATTTTCATTTGGATGCCAGGACGGAGTAGGGGGCTGGACTTAATGGCCTTATAGGCCCCTCCCAGCTCCAGTATTCTATGTTTCTATGATGGTGCAAACAGAAACTTTATGCAACTGTGAGCCAGAGATAAACTGAAATGTATGGAGTAATTACACCCACAGAGCAGATGCAATCTTTGTTTGCCAAGAGGCTCTTAAAGATCCAGCTTACTCCAACGTAGCCTCCCCCAACTCACCTCTGACAGATTTGCCTGCTCTTGTCTTGGGAGACACTGTGGTTTTGCTTGCATCTGTGACATTTCAGGCACCGAGCTCTGAAAGGTTTCTGTTTCTTGAAGGATAAAATTGTAAAAAGGTGGAAACACACATGGGAAGATTCAGAAAATTACACTGTTGACAGTTTTGAATTTTACACACACACACACACACAATAGCAGGAGAAAATTGGATTACAGTGTCAGGAACATAAAGCGAGATATACTGGATGAGACTAAAGGTCTATCTTGCAGGTTTTTGAGAACAACAACAACATGGCTTTTCAGTGAACTCTTAAAATGAATCGGTCGCTTTCCCTGTACCTTCAACAACTTGGTCACACTGTGTTGAGGAGGGAACACAGTACAGCGAGCATTCAGGCAAAATTCACTCTCTTTGATAAAAGTAACAAGTTGGCTGCAATTACATTTAGAACTCGTGCAGAAAGCATTAACAATGACCTGACGTAAAGAGTCTGAGGAAGAGGTGGAAGTAATGGCATATGTATGGTATGTCAGTTTCCTGTCTGGTGATCTGAGGTGAGATAATCGATTTGCTGATGATATGGCCTTAAGCGGTCTATCTCTACCTTCATTCTTCTTTTATATCCCATCTGCAAATAGCAAAGGTTATTTCTTAAGAGAATTCATCCTTTTACAGCCAAATGGCACCATCCCAACTCAAAGAGAGGCATTAGCATGCCTGGAGAATGCCAATGATTATAGACGTACCCCCTCAAGTTGGAGGGAAATTAAGATCCCAGTCACCAACCTCCCCAAAAAACCAACTTGACTCATAATTTCCTTCCTTGCAATTTGAAGACATTGGATGGAGTCCTGCCCTCTGGAGGAGCAGAAAAGCGTGGTGAGCATGGTGAGTTGTGACTAGGGTAGGCCCATTGAATCACTGGAGATTTGGTAAGTCAACTTCTCATATAAGTTCCATTGATTCAATGGGCCTACTCTTAATAGGAACTTACCATTCATTCATTCATTCATTCATTCATTCATTCATTCATTCATTCATTCATTCATTCATTCATTCATTCATTCATTCATTTTCTGGGTGGCTTACAAAATATAAATAAATAAATAAATAAATAAATAAATAAATAAATAAATACAGCTGGAAATATTAAAACCATGTAAGACATAGAAATCATATTAAAAGAAAACCAACAAAACCCTGCTTGGATTCTCCCCATGTTTTATTATATAATTTCTACTGATGCTCATTGATTGAAATCCTGTTGCAATGTTATTCAGGTGGAAGGCAAATGGCATATTACTCACATGCCTCTAGCCAACAATTAACAAGTCCCTACTTTGATTCTCAAGTGGGCACCAAACTGGCTAGATGTGAGTGAATGTTACAACTTTTGCCTCCCGCCTGTGCAGGAAAGCAAGAGGATTTCAGCCATTGTTTTTATAATTTTAATTACTGTATACCGCTTTGTGAAAGGCAGCCTGATTTGCCATCTTGAAAGCACATCAATAGCTTTTGGAGCTACGACATATTCATATTAAATGTTTCCCCTCTTTCAACCCAAGTTGGACATTCTTGACAGGATGCAAAGAAATAAGCCATGTTTCTACTTTTCCACATGTTGTAGCATGGTGTAGAGGAAACGGCTGAAAGATGCAGAAAGCTGGGAGCCCGTGCTCATGCCTTTGTGGTAGACTGCAGCATCAGGGAGGACATCTACAGTGCTGCAGAGAAGGTGAGAAATGTGTAAACAGGACAAAAATGCTCACTATTTGTCCCTTTCTAGCTCACATGAGCTGAGACAGCTGTTAACTAAATGCAGATGGAACTCCTTACAGTTGAAAGAGATTCAGAGACTTTAAGCCGACCAATATGGTACACGCAGATACTGCTAGGCAGGATGTTCTAAGATTGGAGGACATGGTACATGTTCTAACAGAATGCCCTCTGTATCCAGATTTGAGGGATCAATATCTTAAACCCTCAACAACTGGGATCAAACAGAATTTTCCTGTATGTACAATTTTATTTCTGCTAGCTGGTACAGACTGCTATACATCCTGTACGACAGCTACATTTGACCCATGGAAAAATTGAACTTATTGCCTGCTTCACAAGCTCTTCCAATTAATTTTACAGCTTGATACTTCCTTGAGAATTCTTATTTTGTTATTTTACGCTTTCCTGATTGTTTATATGCACCTAAATGCCAAGTACTATTTTTTTTAAAAGTGGCTAAATTTCTGTCTATGCGCACAGCTTGACTGGTTATGAAGCAATAACAATTTTGTATTTGTAAACAGGACTAAGTGTTTACATTCACAGGCCTAAAAAGCTGCAGTGAAGACCTGAAAAACAAACCAATACCTTTTTTGGCTTCTGTGTTTACCCTTTCTGCCACTTCCTGCTCTCAACTGCATAACATGTTTGTGATGGAGTAGAAAAGGACATTACTGACATGTGTCCATGTTCGGTCATCAAATCCTATTTATAGTGCATATGGATGATACTAAGGATCCTCTGTAACATATTTATAACAAGGTCATTTTGCAAAAGCTTATGCCCAGGATCCTGTACTGTGGTTCCTTTGACAAAACTGGGAACATTAAAGGAAATGGGAGGTGGTAATACCACCCTCTTCCTGCCTCCATGAACCTCAAAGCACTCTAGGTAAAAAGGTAAAGGTTCCCCTTGACAATTTGTCCAGTCGTGTATGACTCTAGGCAGCGATGCTCATCTCTGTTTCCAACCCATAGAGCTAGTGGCTGTCCGAAGACAATCTTCCGTGGTCACGTGGCCAGCGCGACAAGACACGGAACACTGTTACCTTCCCACCATGGTGTTACCTATTTATCTACTCACATTTTGCATTTTGCAAATTTTTGCTAGGTTGGCGGGAGCTGGGACAAGCGACAGGGGCTCACTCCATCGCAAATCTCTGCTATTTTAAAGAACATCTGTACCATTTTGTCCCTCCCAGAAGGGGTTCATATCACACTGTCATTTTTACTGAAGAATTTGCTCCTACACGTATGCACGTACAAAGAAATCTGAAAATCTATGGTGTGTTGATATACTGTATATTTGTGGCTGTTTTCCAATGCTCAGATTGGTGCAGAACTAAATCTGTGTGCTGTCGTGTTTATGGCATAATTGGGGAAAGGATGTTGGAAAGGGAATGATTTGCAACATCACTGTAGAACCTTGTGATTGCAGAAGATTTGTAACTTGTTTCTCGTGTTTTAAAGGTGAAAAGAGACATTGGAGATGTCAGTATCTTAGTGAATAATGCTGGAGTAGTAACAACGGCAGATCTTCTTTCTACCCAGGACAAACAGATAGAAAAAACATTTGAAGTCAACATTCTTGCTCATTATTGGGTAAATACCACTGGATTGTTAAATCCTTCTCTCCTCATTCTGCCTCTTTGTATATCCTTTTATACTAGCTGGCAAACAAACTGCAGAGTTTTCTGTTAGCTACAGTTTTCCATTTTATCCAATGTTTTGACTATCTTTGACAAAAAATTGTGTTAAATACTACAGGTTGAGAAGGTCTGATTTGCATTTTTTTCCTCCATTTACTACATGAGATGAAAGGAAACATTAATCAGCTCAACAAACCCATAGTTTTTCCCTCTGCTGCTGGGGCTTCCACTTTTCCCCCAGTGGATCTATTTGCAGTGTGATGATCTGAACGGATGCAAAAGAGTGTAGCCTGTGGTTCATATGATGGTGTGGCAGCTGCGAGGGGCAAAGATCTAGCCCAGGAGGGTTGGATCTTTGCAAATAATGCCATTTAATTCTTCTTCTTTTTCAACAGCTTGGTGCCAGCACTCTTTTGCTAGGGCATCTTGACACAAAGAGAGAGAGGAGGGGGAAGAGGAGGAAACATGAGGCAGAAATCACCACTCAACCTTTGTTTACAAGTTGTTAGATAGTTTCCCTGTAACTGCACCTCCTGCAGGGCCAAAGGAGAGCTACACTAAGAAGCTGAAAACGAGGCTGTTTAGCTAATTTCCTCCTCTCTCCTGTGTGGCCAGCTAACATGAACAGACCAAAGCAAACCCAAATTTCTTGGTGCAATTTTGCATATATCTAGCTGTGTAGTCACATCCTAAGCCACAATAGTTACTATCTTCAGAACAAGGTAGGCTACAAAGACAGCTTCAAGCGATATCTTCATATCCTATCTTTTTCTAAAGCTCTTCACCACAGTTTGATGGTGCAGGCATAAAAGGAGAGCAGAGGTTTTCCCGTTTGTGCAATCATCTGCACAAAGGCAGGGTCAAAGCAGCTTTCTGTGGAAAATACAAGATTCATTCATTTATTGGTTTATGATGATGATCTGAATGTAGACAGTGTGATAATTATGAATTAAAAGCAGAAACAAGTCCTTCCAGATAGGCCATTCTTAAATATGACTGATGCTAAATGTATGGCTACTATTATATGATAGGAATAATCCTTAATCCAAGCACTCAATTTCCCAGAAGCTGAATTCCTAAAAATGTGAGAACAATGCTCACCATGACTTTAATGATGCAGATAAGACAGGGCAGTTAGAATATTGATACAGTATCTCAATAACATGATTGTATAAGTAGGAGCAGCTGAACTCACATTGTAAGGTTAGTACTAACCAGGCTTAGGTACTTGCCTCTAATCTGCATCTCATATTATTCACTCATAATGTATAGAACATAAACTGTTACACAGGCCTTTTCTCTCTTCCCAAAGTCAATGGCTTTGATAATATTATTCTAATCTAGTATTTGAATAACCTGCAATTTTAGCATTTAATATTTAGCAATTAATATTAAATGTAATATTATTTATTTTTAATGATATAAGCCATCTTGGATCCTTTTTTAGGAGAAGAATAGGGCACTGATTAGGCCTCACCTTGAGTATTGTGACCAATTCTGGACACCACACTTCAAGAAGGATGCTAACAAATTGGAACATGTTCAGAGGAGGGCAACAAGGATGCTCAGGGGAGCTGGAAACCAAGCCTTATGAGGAAAGGCTGAAAGAATTGGCCATGTTTAGCCTTGAGGAAAAAAAGGCTGAGTGGCGATATGATAGCACTTTTCAAATATCTGAAAGGCTGTCTTACAGCAGAGAGGCAGGATCTGTTCTTGATCATCCGAGAGTGCAGGACATGCAACAATAGGCTCAAGTTAAAGGAAGCCAGATTTCAGTTGCATATCAGGAAAAACTTCGTAACTTTTAGAGCATTACGACAGTGGAACCAATTGTCTCAGGAATTGGTGAGTGCTCCAGCCCTGGAGGCATTCAAGAAAAACTTGGATAATCACCTGGCAGATATGCTTTGATTGTATTCCTGCGCTGAGCAGGGGGTTGGACTTGATGGCCTTATAGACCCCTTCGAACTTCACTTTTCTATGATTCTATGATTCTAAAATATTTTAAATAAATAAATTGATAAAAGTTCTCTGAACCTTTCCCTCAGGGAACCAGGAAGTAAACACAATGGCTGAAATCCAGTAGTCTCAACTAGAGTAAACGGTAAAGGTAAAGGTTCCCTTTGACATTTAGTCCAGTTGTGTGTGACTCTAGGGGTCGGTGCTCATCCTCGTTTCCAAGCCATAGAGCCAGCATTTGTCCATAGACAGTTTCCATGGTCATGTGGCCAGCGCGACTAGACAATGAACGCTGTTACCTTTCCACTGTGGAGGTACGTATTTGTTTACTCTCATTTTTATATGCTTTCGAATTGCTAGGTTGAGAGGAGCTGGGACAAGCGACAGGAGTTCACTCCGTCGCGTGTATTCGATCTTACAACTGCTGGTCTTCTGACCTTGCAGCACAGAGGCTTCTGTGGTTTAACCTGCAGCGCCACCACATCCCTACTTCAACTAGAGTACGCCTATTGAATCAGAAGGTTTTGATAAGTGTCACACCTATTTAAGTTCTATTTATTTAATGGCCCTTACTCTAGTTGTGTTTGACTCCTGGATGTCAGCCAATATTGCAAAAGAATAAACTCAAGCATTAATTTTGCATAACATGCAGGATGAAGAGTTTACAGTTTAAACAGGGCAATTCTTTATAATGTATGCAAATATTTGACTGAAAAATGCCAGACATGCAGTTTTCTAAAGAGGTTTTTCTTCCCTCTTCCTTTAACACTTTCTTCAAGACAACAAAAATGTTTCTGCCAGCAATGATGAAAAATAACCATGGCCATATTGTAACTGTTGCGTCAGCTGCCGGACATGTTACTGTCCCTTTCCTGGTGTCTTATTGGTATGTTATGACAGAGATATTTCTAACACTTACGGATACTTTGCTTTTCCTTCTTGGCCTTTGGACTAAGATTACGCATGGATCAGAATAAAATCATCTCACTAAATGATAGTAAAGGTGTGGGCATCATTGTGTTATGAATAATATTGCATCAACGTCAACGTAAACCAAGAATAGGGAACACATGGCTCTCTAGATGTTTTACGATTGCAATTCCTATTTGTAGGCATCCTTCAGTCTCAAGAGACTGTTATGCTTATCCATTGGCTGCGCCAGCTGCAGGCGAAAGAAACTGATCTCTAACATCTGAGGGCACATGTTCCTGTGGTATATATGGTTGTGCTTCACAAAGAGGGGTTAAGAAAAAAGCAAACAAAAATCCTCCTTGTTGCTACCCCCTGCTTCCTTGAGGAAGTTTTCAATTTTTCTTTTACTTTTGTAAAGTGATGCAGTGCATACGCGCTGCCCTAATACACTTTTTAAAAGACTCACTTCCTTCTTAAGCCACTTCATGAAACAGTAGGACCCCTTTATCCACTGGATCAATATCCGCAGTCTGAAAATACTAAAAATATTAAAGGAAAGGTAGGACCCCCTTATCCACTGGATCAATATCCGCAGATTCATTCATCCCAGTCTGAAAATACGAAAAATATTAAAGGAAAGTTACCTAAAAATACAGATTTTCAAAAAGAATCATCAGACTGGACATTAGAGGGAACCGAACATCATGTTATATAGGTAAGCAACCACCATTTCGCCTGGTCTGCTAGCAGCTTGAGACTGTTTCTCTCCAGAGCAGCATCGTTGTTGTGAAAGTCAGAGCTGGATTGGCTGGCTAGGATGGGTGCTGACCTAAGCCAAACTGTTTCCCGGAAGAGATTTCCCACCTCCCATCCTTCCTGCCTTCTGGCTAGCCTCTTCCTCAATACTCCTGGGCAAACAAGGAGATGGATTCTTAATGGTCTGCTAGCAGCTTGAGACTGTTTCTCTCCAGAGCAGCATCGTTGTTGTGAAAGTCAGAGCTGGATTGGCTGGCTAGGATGGGTGCTGACCTAAGCCAAACTGTTTCCCGGAAGAGATTTCCCACCTCCCATCCTTCCTGCCTTCTGGCTAGCCTCTTCCTCAATACTCCTGGGCAAAGAAGGAGATGGAATCTTAATGGTCTTTGAAGAAAACCTGCAAAGACAGACAGAGAGAGAGAGAGAGAGAGAGAGTCATCTTCAGCAAAGGAACAAGAGAAGATTTCAACTTGGCTCTCACTCATGGAGGCCCCATCAAGATAAAAATTACAGGAATAGGAAAATTTTGGGTCCAACAGACTGTATTGGCTTTAGCCACGGGGAAGCTGTGAACTGATCCCCCACAGATACGGGGGTCCTACTGTACTGGCAAGTTGACAGCAGGCTAGTGCAGACCAAATAGTGTCTCTTGAGGTCCACATGTGAAGATCACACCAAAGGGCACACCAGACCTCCTTAGCACCCTTATTTAGCCTGTGCCAGCAAAGCCAGGTAGTCAAGCCCTCCATTCTCTGACTCTAATTCATTCTGCTTTCTAAAAGCAGCCTCTCCCTTTTCTGCTTCTTTCTTCCATGATCACTTCATTTCTGCCTCCTGGTTACTGGGGGAGTGTGGATGATGACTCATCACTGCCCATTCCCCTAGTGCTTCCTTGGGCCACCTTTGTTCCCATGACAACAATAAGTCACTAGGCCAAATGCGGATATTAAAAGTCTCTCCTAGTTAGAAGCTGAAGGAGGGGATTAGAGAAGGGAAAGCCATCAGTGCACAGTTGCAAAGAACAATCATTATTATAATATTCAAAAATAATTGATTCAATGCTATAAATAATAAGCTCTCTGATTAATTCCCTAATTGGTTTGGTCCCACTATCTTGTTTATCTTAGCTACGGACTGATAAAGAATATATTTTAAAGCCCTGCATGTTGCACATGCATTGTGTTAAGCCACATATAACTGTGGATCAATGATGAAACGTATGCAAAGATCACCCGAACCTGTTTTCTTCTTCTCAGTTCAAGCAAGTTTGCTGCTGTTGGGTTCCATAAAAGTTTGACAGAAGAGCTGGCTGCCTTGGGAAAAGACGGGATCAAGACCACATGCCTTTGCCCGTACTTTATAAACAACGACTTTTTGAAAAATCTGAGTACCAGGTAAGCTGCAAGGAGACTCAAGCACTGCGAGCCATAGCTTGAAAAATGTACATCTTTGGGTCACAGCTGTCAGAAAATGCCAGCCAGGGAAATCTGGGAGTTGCAATCCCAAAGGGTCACTTTTTCAGGCTGTAGTACTAGCTACAGTGTTCCCCTGCGATATATGAGATACTCTTTATTTTGCCTTTCCATTTTAAACTAAATAAATAAAGAATAAGCATGCTGGCATCAAGGCTGTTCTTAAGATTTTAGATAGGAAGTTTGCATTAATGCAGGGTCAGTGCACACGGAACATATGATCAGCTTTCCTCGCTTGCGTGATACCAATACCAATGATCCTAATGATCCAGCATTGGGTGTCCGTGCGATGGTGAAGCTGAAACTACATGTCAACAGAGTCCAAGCAGTACAAAAGAATATGCACTGTATCTTGCTTTTGGGGCAGGGGATGTTTACACCACTCCTGGGCAGTGATGTGCTTTTGTTCCGTTTTGCTCTAGTTCAGGATCTGCTTGTGTGGACACTGTTTTAGCACTGATGTTTCCTGATTTGTGCACGCCGTGGGAGCAAATTGTTTGATGTTGTTTCCTTATGGACATTTTTCTGTTGGTCCTGCTTTAGCTTTCCATGCTTCTCCTGTTTAGTTTTCTTGAGATATCAATTGCTCCTGCACTCTGCTTTTTTGTACGTTATCACTTTTTGCACCATAGAGTCATAAGTGAAAACTATTTTTTTTTAATTGGATTAGAAAGCACCGGGGTGGAAATGTGACATTTTGAGAGCAAGAGAGACAATAGTGAAGTCAGTGGAGGGAGAGCAGTGAAGATAACAGCTGTTCCTGCATCCTTTTTTTTAATTTGGTTTTTAATGACATGATATTTGCACCGTAGGGCAAAAGAGAAAACTGAACATTAAACAAAAATTCAACTAGAAAGCATTCTTCCCAAAATTTGAAAGTGCAACCATGGTCGGTAGTTAAAACAAGAAGGGAAGGGAAGATAATGAAGTAGGTGGGGAGAGAGCAGAGAATATTGGCAAAAGGGGAGGGCCATCTATGTTGGGAATGAAATGTTAGAGTGTAATTCTTCACATATATGGACAGGCGATAAACAGGAGGAGCCAGCACATCACCTGTGTATCAAAAAAAATTACTCACCCCATATGTGGACACTGGGCATTAATACTGGGATGATCAATGGAAATTGGCAACAAAATATTACCAGAACATTCTGAGCAACCCCAGAATGAGCAGCGACTACCCCACAGTGTGAACAAGTACTTCCTGGATATTATTGCTTTCAAGTGTTGGTCCTCATGTCACCACCAAATTACTTTTGAAACTCTCCTCAGTTTCAAAAGGAAATAGTAGCTCCATTTCTGGCAGGAGGCAAAATGAGGTAGTTGCCTCAGGCAGAAGCAAATGGTGTGATGCAGGGGCTTAGGATCCTGGAAAAGTTATATTCTTTGATAACAACTCCAGAAGTACATGCTGGCTGAGGAACTCGTGAAAGTTATGGCCAAAATGTGTCTTTTTCATGCTCTGCAAGCCACCATCTGCTGTTGGAAGACAGAGCTGTATGTGCCTAATAGCCTGTGGTGCATGCTGTAAGCCAGAATGCAGCCCTCAGATGAAGTGAAGGATGTCATTCTGCCATCAGTGTTGAAATTGCATCCACCGTAAGTGCAATAGGGGTGCTATCTTATCCTCCACCTCAGCCAGCCTCTGCGCACATGCTATTTGAGAAAACGCATTTGACAGAAATTTCCAGAGCTGAGGGCAGGTAGCTACGCTAATTAGCAGCAGCTAGAACCACAAAGGTTCTTATGGCCCTTTAAATAAAAATGAATATGTTTTGTTTGGAAGGTTTTCACAAACTTTAGGCTACTGTATTTTGTAAGTTTTCATAAACTGCACCTGATTAAGGAGGGCTGTCGCCCATGAAACCGTATGCACAATAAAAATTATTTGACTCTATGATGCGACAAACCATCTGACAGAGGAATCCTACACCTGCTGACTGAGAATAAGTTGTTCTGAATTTAATGAGGCTTACTTCTAGGTAAGCATATATAGGATTCTAAGTACAAATTGCCCTCAGGCATATGGAATCAGTTTCACAGATTACTACAGTCTTTCCAATGAACCATCAATCATTTCTTGAAAAATGATTACTAACTGCAGCCAGAGAGTAAATGTACAACAAATATTTTCGGATCAATCTCCAGCCGCCATGTTTCCCATGCTGCAATTCTGTGTCACAAGGAGCGATTCTTTAACACCTGTTTTCATTTAACTCCAGGTTAGTGCCTGTTGTGGAGCCTGAGAACGTGGTAGCTAATCTTATGGATGGTATTCTTTGCAACCAAAAAATGATTTTTGTTCCACGGAGTCTGAAGTGGCATTTGTTGGCGGAAAGGTATGTATGGTGGACAGAGGACAAGAGAGCTGAATATATATATTTTTTTACAATAGTTAAATGAAAATGGTGCGTCCTAATTACACAAAAGAATTGTCTCCTAAGCCAGGAGTAGGAACCTGGCTTAGAGGGAAAAAAGGGCCCAATCTTCCTTAGGTCCTTTTAATGGGAAAGGCAGGATAAAAATATTTTAAATAAATAAATTAACTAAACCTGCATCCTCCAGAGTTGGTTGGTCGATCTTCACCTCCCATCAATTTCACTAGAGCAGTCTTGATTCAGACATGGTGGTTGTGCTCGTTCAATATTTTTAGAATAATCTCTTTCATTATTTATTTATTTATTAAACTTGTATATCACACCGATGAGTATCGATGCAATTTGATATTTGTGTATCTCTTACAGAATTCTGCCCGAGCGTGCCTTGGGGGCTTTCATCGACTTACTAAAAATAAAATTTGATGCAGCTGTTCAATGTGAGAGGAAACAGGATTAAATTTATCGGGGCCTCCTGGGAGTTTATACAGGGTAACTGAAGCCATTTCTTCAGATGTTTAGAAGATTCCTTCTAGACACAAGGCTTCCTGGTATGCCTTTTGTTAACACCTGATCTGTAACCTGTAAAAAGAATCTCATACACTTCTCATCCCAAGTAAAAGGGCTGGTACAATGTTGTAAAATATATATTCTTCTCTTTCTGTAAAGAAGCCTAATCATGTCCTTTTGCTTTCAATGCAGTTTTTCCAGTTGACTTGTCTCTAAAAAGTAACCAGGCTGAAGGTGTGTGTGGGGGGAGATGCCTTGATTCTAGTCTGTACACATATAAGGAAAAAAAATGAGATGTTGAATAAACATTAGGAAGACCTTCCAAACAGGAAGACCTATTGGACAATAGAAAGGTGGTGGGCACTTCTTTGTCAGAAATTTTAAACAGTGAGTGGATGGCAGTTGTCAACATCCTTTAGCAATGGATTCCCTGCTTTATCAGAGGTTTGGACCAGTATATACAATAGTTTAGGTTTCAGAAGCTGTGAGTTTGATTCCTTACTATGCCTCCTTCAGGGGCTGGACTCAGTGATCTCGGTTTCAGAAGCTGTGAGTTTGATTCCTTGCTATGCCTCCTTATCAGGGGCTGGACTCAGTGATCCATAAGGTCCCTTCCAGCTCTGCAGTTCCAATCTGGTGATGATAATAATGATATAAATAAGGTCTTTTCCAGCTCTGCAGTTCTAATCTGGTGGTGATGGTAATAATGATATAATTAACAGAAAAACATAAGAAGAGTCCTGCTGGATCAGGCCAAGGGCCCATCTAGTCCAGCTTCCTGTATCTCACCCTGGCCCCACCAGATGGCTCTGGGAGCACACAAGACAACTAGATCTCTGTCTCCTGATACCCCTACCCTGCATCTGGCATTTTGAAGTACCTTCCTTTTAAGCCTGGAGATGATACATCCTCATCAGGGCTTGTACCCTGCAATGGACTTTTCTACCAGGAATCTGTCCAATCCCCTTTTTAAAGTAACTAGGCCAGATGCCATCACCACATCCTGTGGCAAGGAGTTCCACAGACTAACAGCACACTGGGTAAAGAGAGACTTTCTTTTCTCTATTCTCACTGTCCTAACACTCCATTGGAGTGGGTGTCCCCTGGTTCTGGCATTGTGTGAGAGGGAAAAGAGCTTCCCTCTATCCACTTTATCCAAAGGTAAAGGTAAAGGTTCCCCTTGACATTTTTAGTCCAGTTGTGTCCGACTCTAGGGGGCGGTGCTCATCCCGTTATCAAGCCATAGATCCAGCGCTTGTCCAAAGAGTTTCCGTTGTCACGTGGCCAGCGTGACTAGGGAACACTGTTTTACCTTCCCACCGAGGTGGTCCCTATTTATGTACTCGCATTTACGTGCTTTCGAACTGCTAGGTTGGCAGGAGCTGGGACAAAGCCCTGCATAATTTTATACCTCTCAATTTATACCTCAGGTGCCTTTTCTCTAGACTAAAGAGCCCCAAACACTGTTGCTTTTCCTTCATGAGGGAGATGCCCCAGCCCAGCCATCATTTTAGTCTCTCTCTTCTGCACTTTTCCAGTTCCACTATGTCTTTTTTGAGGTACCAGAACTGTACACGATACTTGAGGTGCGGCCTTACCAGTGTTTTGTACAATGGCATTATAATGTTGGCTGTTTTACTTTCAATCCCCTTTTTAATGATCCCTAGCATGGAATTGGCCTTCTTCACTGCCACTGCATACTGGGCTGACATTTTCATTGAGCTGTCTGCCAGCACACCAAGATCTCTTTCGTGAGCCATCTCTTAATGTGCCATCAGGGTGACTCTGACTTACAGTGAAACTTTCCAGGATTTCCTAGATATTTAGCGCTAAGAAGTGGTGTATAAGTGTCTTCTTCTGTGGGCATTTCGGGACCATGCAGCTTGTCTAAGGCTACACAGGCTGGCTTGCACCCCTCAAGGCGCAGTGAGGATTCAAACCCCTGACCTCTCACTATTCCCAATTCAAGGTGTGTTCAGTTGCCTGCAAATCACATGCCTTATTGCACCAGAAAGGGTCACTTTAACAGGAGTGATGTCCCTTAAAGCAGTCCCGCTTATCAGGGAATCTCCCCAACTCATCCCCAAGAAGCAGAAGCCCTATAGCAGGATCAAAAAGGGTACGGATTGGGGTCAGTCTGGAGCACATGTCCTTGTATGTTGTGATCACTGAGAAACAGATTGCCCCAGACCACCCCACGGATGGTCTAAATTGCAAACTATCTCCCCATGTGATCAAACCCACAATCCATTTCTAAAATATGAAGAATGCATCCATCTTGGTCTTTCAATAGCATTACACCCAGAGTCATACAGTATAAACATTTCTTTTTCACACATGTTTATTTAATGGATTCTTACATCATCTAATATAGCCAGGGGAAAGCTGTAAAGGTTCTTTACAAGGGATTTAAGAATATATCCATTGCTTCATGGTGTTATCTTATGGTTTTCTCCAAAGGGATCAGATGAGTGGCTTCATTCATTTCCCAAAAGAAAGATCATACCAGGGAGGAAAGTAGATGGATAATAGTGTTTTAAAGTAAAAGAGAGAGAATTACTTCAATGGCAAGAAAACTTCTGCTCTCCCTTTCATACGGCATAGACATGGTGTTCAAATAATAGATAATGACATCCAAGAATTCCATGCACGGGACATTTCTCAACCAGTTAGGTCAGTTTTTCCCAGTTGGGTGTGTTGGACTGCAATTCAGTGTCCTCCCAGTAACATGTCCCTAATTTATATGCAACATGCAATTGGCCACATTGGTTGGAAATGATTAAAAAAACAACAACAACTCAAACAGGTAAGAAATCATAACAAAAAACTGAAGGCAAATTCAGGCATAGAGATGAAATCCATTACGTCATGTTTCCTTATCCTTGTATCCAACAACAAAATCAAATTTCAGTGCATTCATCTTCTGGAAAGCTGCCACCGCACGGACTGGAAGGAACCTGGGGAAATGGGTGAAGAAAAATCTTAATCCCTCATATACTGACTGTCTAAAAGCCAAGTAACCCAATTGCTGATTAGGCCTGAATCACTGAAAGTTAATATACAGCAGTCGGTTGCCACGGTTCACCACAGCTACTTACCTATCCAACATTATACTGAATTTCAGAAGTGGCGGAATGAAAATCATTTTCTTGTTGGTTAATACACCCTTTATTACATGCTTTGCAACTTCTTCAGGCTCCATGGGTGGCATTAATCTGAAGATAACAAAAATGCGGTATTTACAGTCATCCAAAGGAATGAGATGGGGTGGGGAAAGTGGTGGTAATCTTTGGAAGATCAAAACTCAGCGACTGAAGCCAATGCAAAAATCACACGGGATGAAACAGTCAAAGAATTGTGTGGTCAAGAGAGCCGTGATGCTTCCTGGACCTAATCGGGTAGCATAAATAAGGAATAGGAAAATTAGCATCAAAACATAGAAGAGCGGATAAAGAGGGGTGGAGAACATATAGTGTTGTTCTGCGCCATCAAGTCAAAACTAATTTATAATGAAAAATGAAGGAGAGGAAACAGAAACAAAAAAAAGGAAAAAAGCAATTTGCATTCTTTTCTTCTGAAGCTCGGGTAGTTCTAGTGAAGAGACTGATCCTGTCCTTTTAAATTTGTTAAATAAATAAGGACATCAGAAATTCTAGTCATGGATCTCCAAGATGATGTGGAGTTTAACCTAAAGCTGCCAGCTCAATTGGGTTTGATTTCAGAAGACAGAAAGATGTTCACATTTTTTGGTACAAGCTTCTTTAGATTTTGCTTGTCTTTTGATGTGACAAAGACTAGGGAAGTCACTCAAGACTAGCTGCTGGACTCAGATACCCATCAGGCTCGGATAACCATCTTGCATCATTGTTAGGAATAGTGCAAGCAGCCCTTCCTCAATCTTGGAAAGGCCAAGAGTTCTCCTCCCTTGAGCTATAGAACAGAAAGGAAATAGTAAACAACAGAAGCAACACAGAGAGATCCTTCCAAGGGCGGAATATGTAAGGGTTAATAGAAGACTTTCCTGATACAGTACCTTGAAGAAGGGTTTTTGACAAAGTCAGTATTTATAAACATAGGGCAGACACATGATGTTTTAACTCCATTCTTCCTCAGTGCAGACAGCTCTTGGGTCAGTGCTCTGTGAAACCCGACAGCAGCAAATTTGGTAGAGCTAAGAGGGGGAAATCAGATACTGTTTTAGTGGGCTGTATAATAATTTTTTTATTTGGTTCCTGCGTCATGAATCGACACATACAGATCTCTCACACCCTCTGTTGTGATCTCAGACCTATATACAAAATATCTGCGGGTGAAACTGCGGGTGAGGTGAAATGTGCCATTATGCCACTATTTAAAAAATAATGACACCAGGAGCACGGGCATGTATTTTCATGAGTAAGACAAGTTGTGGGGAAAGGAGATTTTAAAATTTCCCATTCCTTCCCTAAAGTTTCAATCACCCTTTGAGTTGCAATGATTGTTATGGAAAATAGCGTCCGTTGGTGTCTATAGGACTAAATGTTGCTGGAAAAGTTGGAGATGGAGAAGCGCTTACCGATCTTCGCAATGCGAGTTTTGGCCATAGAGGCCATCGGTAAGCGATCGCATTAGCGATCTCAAAAAAGAGATCGCTATGCGATTTCGTCATTATACGGTGCGCTCATTAAGCGAGGCACCACTGTATCTGCGGGTGAAACTGTGGGTGAGGTGAAATGTGCCATTTATGCCACTATTTAAAAAATAATGACACCAGGAGCACGGGCATGTATTTTCATGAGTAAGACAAGTTGTGGGGAAAGGAGATTTTAAAATTTCCCATTCCTTCCCTAAAGTTTCAATCACCCTTTGAGCTGCAATGATTGTTATGGAAAATAGCATCCGTTGGTGTCTATAGGACTAAATGTTGTTGGAAAAGTTGGAGATGGAGAAGGTATGTTCCCCCTGCCAAAACAAGACTAGTAGCAGATTGTTGTACAACAGGATTTGGTCACTAAGCCAATGGAACTTATTTAAGTGTTGATTTAAGAAGTTTAATTCATTCAAACAACTCTACTTAGTAAAGATTAGAAACTGGATTTAGGCTTTCCTATAGAATACTTTTAGAGGCTTTCCCTACAACTAGCGAAGAATATCATTCTTGTTGATTGGGGCTATCTTTGCCATACATACCAGTAAGCAACAAGAAAAGGAGCCACTAAGTGTCCCCCTGCAGATGCCACTGTGACAATATGGCCATGGTTCTTCTTCATCATTGTTGGTAGGAAGGCCTTGATGGTCTGAAAGTAAATGTGAAGTAGAGAAAATAACTTTCCATGGATGTCAGCTGGTCCTTATGACAGATTGAAAGCAGGAATTATAAGCTTATGACGAATGAAGAACCTCATACAAGTATGGCAAAATAAAACAAGCGATGTACGTCAACATTCTATCATGCAGCTGGAAATAAACCAACGATCAGATTCGTGTGTTTGAAAAAACCTCGACTTACAAACTTAATCTGTATTGGAACAGTATTTGTATGTTGAAATGTTCGTAAGTCGAAGCAAAATTTCCCGTAGGAATGCACTGAAAACCATTTAACCCATTCCATATGGCAAAATAAAACAAGCGATGTACGTCAACATTCTATCATGCAGCTGGAAATAAACCAACGATCAGATTCGTGTGTTTGAAAAAACCTCGACTTACAAACTTAATCTGTATTGGAACAGTATTTGTATGTTGAAATGTTCGTAAGTCGAAGCAAAATTTCCCGTAGGAATGCACTGAAAACCATTTAACCCATTCCAGCTGTTTTTCGTTCGTATGTTGAGGCACCGTTCGCAAGTAGAAGCATTAGTTCCCATAGGAACTAAGGCAAAACCAGTTAATCCATATTCTACCACTAGGGGGAGAATTTTTCTTCTTTTGTCCTAAAATGAACTTATGTCAAAAAAAGGGCAGGAAAGGAGGGAGGGAGGGAACACCTTCTAGAGTGGTCGAAATGACTAGATAGGCGGGGTATAAATACAATAAATAAATAAATAAAATAAGCAGAACACCTTTTAACCCAAGCATCGTTTAAACAAAACCAAGCACCCTTTAGCTTAAAAAAGGGGGGCAGGAGAACACCTTTTAAACAAAACACATTTTTTTCCCGTTTGTAAGTCGAAGCTCCGTTCGCAAGTCAAAGCAAAATTTTGCGAACGGAGCAGTTAGTAAGTCGAAAAGTTTGTTGATAAGGATGTTCGTAAATCGAGGTTCCACTGTATATGTAATCTAATCCACTACAATCAGTTCTAAAGTTGGGTTTACCCAGTAGTGAGCAAGAATGTTGACTTCAAACATTTTCTGAATGTCATGGTCTTCGGTTGATAGCACATCTGTTGGGGATACCACACCAGCATTATTCATCAAGATGCTCACGTCCCCAATCTCTTCTTTCACCTTTTTAAAGAAATAAAGCACACAGATTACAACAGGTTCCGTTTCTTGTGTAGCCGGAGTTTTGTTCACTTTTAACAACCTATTGTAGCCAAATTGCTGATATAGGAATAGATTTCTGAACTACGGCACAAGTGTTGGGACTAGGACAGAAATCTTCTTTCAGTTAAACAGACACATGGGATGCTGAATACAGTAGGACCCCCCACATCTGTGGGGGATTGGTTTTGCAGATGTGGGGTATAGGGAATGCTATTACAAGGGCAAACATTATACAGTGGTGCCCCGCATGACTATGATAATCCGTTCCCCTGAAATTGCTGTTAAGCGAAATCGTTGTCATGCAAAATCCGTTTCCCCATCGGAATGCATTGAAACCTGTTTAATACGTTCCAATGGGGAAAATACCTCATCATCCAGCGAAGATCGCCCATAGGGAAGCCATTTTCTGAGTGCCGATCAGCTGTAAAAATGGCTGCCCTGCGAAGCATGGGTCTGGAAAACACAGGGCAGCTGTTTTGCGAAGCAGACGATCAGCTGGAAAAATTGTCGTCTTGCGAAGAAATGGTCCACATTTTGCGAAGCCGACGATCAGCTGTGAAAAATTGTTGTCTTGCGAACAAATGGTCCGCGAAGCACAGACCAAATCATCATGAAGCGAAAATCCCCCATTGGAATGACTGTTTTGCGAATTGCTATAGCGATCGCAAAAAGTCATCGTTATGCAGATTTGTCGTTTAGTGGGGTCGTCATCATGTGGGGCACCACTGTACATGGTCTCTGTCTACCTCAAGTGGCCAGTTCTGGTAATGACATTGAGGAAATATATTTCTCTAGTGAACGCTATACATAACATGGTCTCTGACTCCCTCTAGTGCCCAGTTTTAGTAACTTCATAATTAGAAATATATTTCTAAGCATTTTTCTTTTAATTTTAAATATTTCCAGACCATGTATAAGTGAATCAGTAAATACTGATCCTGCAGATACAGAAGCCCTACTGTATAGCTATGTTGTCCATATGTGACATACTTGAAGTTTCAAAGCCGATCTTTGCTTGCTGGCAGCGTTTCCAGTGTCAGTGAGCAAGCACATGAGAGGTGGAGATTAAAAGTATCTTATACTGGGAATCTATTAGCAGTTCTGGGCACAGTTTGAAAAGATTAATTTTGTTGGACAGTAGCTTCTGGAGCCAGGCTGGCTCGGGTTATGGAAAGCAGAGAAAGTTATGTTTCCAAGCTCTCTTTTAAAGACAACCTTTTGACAGTTACGGATTTCCCAGTGTCCCTGTTTCCCCAAGCACATGTCCTGTGCCTATAGCTTCCTGCGGTGGGCCATTTTTCACAGGTCTAGCATGTATTAGGAGCATGTATTACGAGGTGTGATTTGTCCATGAGCCTCACTGAGCAGATAAACATAGCCCTCATCCCACCCCAAAGCTAGTTAAATTCTCACTCACACCAGATATGTGTTTTGCACTGCAAACCCCTTGGGCAGGCATGAGAAAAGTACCTGAAATGATAAGGGTTCCTTGATTTATCCCTGACTTCTTTTTGTTCCAAAAATATTATTATTTTCACAAATATTTGTCTAACAGATTTGGGAAAACTTTGGAGCTGAATTCTCACCTTGTCTGCTGCTCTATAGATCTCCTCTCGTTTGCTGCAGTCCACCACAAACGCATGTGCAGTGGCCCCCAGTCTTTTGCATTCTTCCGCTGTTTCTTCAACACCCTTCTGCAAAGGGAAAGCAACGTTTAAAAAAATACAGTCCTCCTCTGAATCCACAACATGATAGATAAAAAGGACCTTATTGATATTTCTTATGATAATTTTTCTTCTCTAGTACAAAGACAGTGTCCTTGTGCCATTAAGCTAAAAATCATAGTCTTAAAATGTATTCTCAGTGTCACGAGAAGAACTTGATAGTGTAGGGCTTTAAAAGATTGCATTATAGGTTACTTGTACTTCTTGTACTTCCTTGTATGGAAGGTTTTCCTTAAGAAGTGATACAGCTCACGCTCTTTAACAATAGCTTTGTGCTTCCACGTTAATTTTGAGCTATGGAAACCACATTCCATGGTTTTCTACATATACTGAGTACCGTATTTCCCAGTGTAAAAGACGACTTTTTGGGCCCAAAAACATGCCTTCAAGTGTGGGGGTCATCTTGTATGCCGTGTGCACTGAATGACGCGGGGCTGCGCTGGACGGGGAGGAAGGCAGGTGGGCAGGCAGGCAGGCAGTTGGTCTGTATGGAGGGAGGGAAGCACAGCCTGCCATGCCTGAGCGGCCAGAGCCCGCCGCCGGGCTGCCCGCCGCCCCGCACCGCTGAGCCAGCTGCGCGCTCGCTCACCTGGCACCCCCCGTTTCCCCTCTTCCTCCACCTCCTGTTGGGGTGGGGCGTCTTATATGGCCAGTTGCCTTGTGCGCCGGCAAATACGGTATTTTCTACATACATTCAGAATACAGGCTTATCATTCCCCTCTCTGGGGGAGACTCTGGGACAGTGGGGCATGCCCAAGGCTACACAAGGCGGGCTTTTCTCCTGCACCACACAATTGAACTCTCAGCCTTTGTTATGCCTATTAATTCACCAAGCCAGCCAGCCAGCTTTTTAAAGGTTACCAATTAACCACCTGAAAGCTTGCTACACAAACAGAAACTTTCCCTCGTTATGGATGCCATAGGAACGCTAAACCACTTTAGGAACCACGAGAAAATATTAACAAGCTGTGGTGACAGTCCCGATTGACTGATCAGGGTACAAAAGTGTGACAAGAGAGGGGG